GACTTCAAAATTATGTACATCGTACTCACTCTCATCAGGTTCAATTACCGCTGAACATACTGGTGCTGACTCTGGAAACATTTTCTCTCTTTCATAGTATTTCTTCAGTAAATTGATGTGGAATGTTTTATCATTTCCCTTTATCTTAATTTTATAATCAACATCGTTAACCTTAGCGACTACAGGGTAAGGTCCTTTCCATTTTAGGAGCAATTTGTTACTGTCCGTTGGGAGTAATAGGAGTACCCTATCCCCTATTTCAAACTCTCTTACCCTTGTCTTCCGGTCGTAAAATTTTTGTACCTAGCTGCTGATTTCTTTAACACAGCATGAGCTGCTTCACATGTCTCTTCTAGTCTATGTCTTAGATCTAGTACATACTGGTATGTAGATTTTGTTTCACCTACCGGACATTCATTTGTCATAAGTTCTCATAGAATAGCTACTGGACCTCTTACTTTTCGTCCATACAGCAACTCAAACGGCGAAAATCCCATACTTTCCTGAGGTGCCTCCCTTATTGCAAATAACAATGGCTCTAGATATCTATCCCAGTCAACAGATCTCTCCTGGCACATCCTTTTCAACATCTGCTTGATAGTACCATTGTACCTTTCTACGGGCCCATTCGCTGATGGATGATAAGGAGTTGTGGTTATTTGTTTAATAGACAGGAGTTCACTTACTTACCTCATAACCTCGGAAGTAAACTGAGCCCCTTGGTCAGTGAGCATTACACGTGGGACTCCTAGACGTGAGAACACTTTCACAAGTGCCTCAGCAAATCTTTCCGCTTCAATACTAGGGAGGGGCACTGCTTCGGGGTACCGAGTGGCATAATCTACAATGGTGAGAATATACCTATTCTTCCGTTCAGTCATGGGATGAATGGGTCCTACAAGATCTACTGCTATCCTGTCAAATGGGACATCAATTAATGGCATCTTGCCTAAGGGAACTTTTGTTACCTTACCTTTCTGGATGGTTCTTTGGCAAGCATCGCACGACCGACAATATCTCGTGATTTCGGCATTTATACCTGGCCAAAAGAAATGACGCAATACTTTATCAGTGGTCTTACAGGCACCTGATGTCCACCGAGTAAGCTTTCATGTGCAACTCGCATTACTTGTGACCTGTACATCTTAGGTACGACGACTTGGGTGGATTCACTTCCTCCATCGACTTTCGGTGACCTATAATGTCTCATAAGAATGTCATTATCAACCGAGTAATAAACAAGTCCATACTTACCACTCTTTCTTTCAATTTGAGACTCTGCCAGATCCCATAACCCGGAGAGAGTCTCGTCGTTTTTCTGTTCCCTTTTAAGGTCTTCTGGTTCTACAATATCAAGACATGGTAAGGTTTTCAAAGGACGAAATGGCTTACTTTTACTCATCGACCTGGTTAATACCGCACCGACAGTCCATTCCAGGTCTGCATCATCGGCTGCTCTCATGCCTTGGATATTGCCTAAGATAAGGTCATATAAAGGATTTTTCATGCAAAGAGCACTTACCCAACCGTTATAATATGGAGTGTTGACTTGGAGTGTTGCAACAGGAGCCTCTCGTACTGTACCATCTATAAGAACACATTTCGTTATTTCACCAGTTAGCTGGTGATCACTCACAAGGTCTCTACGCACTCCCACGCCATTGCATCCAGTGTCCCTAAGAACCGATACAATGGTTGACCCAATGATTCCCTTTACGACTGGCATTTGTACAGCATTTAAAGAATTACAAGCAACACTTACCTTTTGAAGTGGTTGACCAAAGTTATCCTGCTGAAATCCAACCTCCGGTACTTTAATCATAAGGCATGCAACATCTTCATGAACTTCCCTTTCCATAGCCGCCCCGACCCTAGGCATCCTACAGTCCTTAGAAAAATGACCGATCTTACCACATGATCTGCATTTCTTCTTTGAACAGTCCTTGGCTATATGACCTGCTTGATTGCAATTATAGCATCTTTTATCATTACGAGAAAGTGATGACTGTCTGTAAGAATAATGCTGGTTATTAGGCTGATAAGATGATTGTTTATTCATGTTGTTAAAATTAGATTGTTGATTACGATATGACTTGACAGTAGCACTGTCACGGGCATTTAAACAACTAAATGTCCCTCCCCGGGCCTCAAGATAGACGTCTGTAGCAGCTGTAGCCTCTTTAAGCGTATGTAACTTTCGCTCTTTTAGGAAAAGCGCCAAATCTTTAGGACATCCCTCAATATATTGGGAGCGTAGAATTAAGTCTTTTAACTCTACGTAAGATCCTCCAATCCCTTCCAACTCCACCCACCTAAGAAGATAATGTTCTAGCCTAGTCGCGTACTGATGCCCTGTTTCTCCTGGATTTGGTTTACTAGACATAAATTTTGAGCGAAACCCTTCAATTTTAAAATCATATCGCTTAAGTAATGCGCACTTTAACAATTGATAATTCTCAGCGTCTGTATTTGGGAGTCTAGAATAAACTTCCAATGCACCACCCGTTAACAGCGCGCTTAAGTTGGTAGCCCATTCATTTTCTGGCCACTTTTGATTTTTCGCATAGCGTTCAAATTTATTAATGTAGGAATCAATATCATCATTGCTTTCACAAAATGCAGGTAGTTTCGGAACTTTTACTTTACCTCTAATCTCCATGTATGATTCATTTAACGATTGACTTGTCTGCAACTTCTTTTCCTCTAACTCCGATTCCTTTGACATTCTCCATTTCTCAAATTCCATCCTATCATACTCCAACTTTATATCCATTTCTTTCATCTCATACTCCAACTTCACTTCCATTTCCCTAACCTTCAACTGCATATCTCCCTCTTGTTCTGTATGCTGCGTATCAGCAATCTCCACTCTATTTAACAAGACACTCTCATCAAACATCTCCTCCTGCACCAAGTAATCTATCAGTAAGTTCTTAATTACCTGTTTTCTCATTGCATATTTTACGTTTAAATCGAAATATCGAGCCAGTACAATAAGTTCTGGCTTTCTAAGAGAGTTAAACCTATCCCAGTCTAACCCCTGGTCAATAAATTGATCAGCATCAAACGACATTTTAAAATATTGCGAATTAATTTACTATATAGATATAGAACACAATTATCATATATCAAACGGTTGAAAAACTTGAAACTGCCCAAATTGTTGATGATGGTATGTCTTGAGTTTCCCGGACGAGCCCCCATAAATGTCACGTGGTACTTCAATGATATCAATTTAACACGAACAAAACGACACCCATCATCAGATAAGTTACAACAATCTGTTTATTTCTTTCCTTCTTTTCTTCCGTCATTCATTTGACTTACTGCAACCCCTTGTTTCGTAAAATTTATCCATGAGTCAGCATAATATAGAGGCTACTGCTGCTAATTATGACCGAAACCTTAATTTGTCACCTTTTATAGCACATATCTGCCTGCATTCAACATTAGCCAGTCTTCATGGACCTTGTCCAACTCGGCTTTTCTCATCTAAGGCCCTTAACT